GGTATATTTAACATTTCTTTCTGGTTGCAATAACCAGAATTCTAGTTGTTCCAACCAGACATTTTTTTCAGTGAAAGTGAGGTTGTTTGTAAGAATGAATATGCCAGTTCATAAGTAAAAGAAAAGTTAATTCAATTATAAAAATATTTGCGGCATTTAAGATAATTTTTTGATATGGTATTAACTGTACAAAAAATAGTTTTTAAGGGTTGATATCTCACATTTTTATTTGTTTAACATTAAGATTTCTCTCTTTGTATATATTGATTTCATTGGACATTACTTACCAAAAATAATGGTTCATTTGAACAAAATCACTGAAATGTTGATTTTTACCAATTCTGAAAAGATGAACAAAATTAACGGTAAGCCAATTTTAATGGTTTTTTTTATCGATTAATCAAAAAAATTAATTCTTAATTTTTAAGATCGATTATTTAAATCGATTCTTTTTTCAAGATCGTCCATCTCTAAATGGAGCTTGTGACATAAAAAGAGACAGATATATACTATTAAGAATAAATAAAAATAACACAAAATGACAAAAAAATGCGAGTAGATGCAGTACAAATGAAAAATTGTCACGGCAAGAGTGAATCAAGTTTACAAAATGATTTAAATGAAAATTATGAAGAAACTGATTATGAAACAGCAGGATAACTCGGAGAATGGAAACGAAAATTCGGCCAATGATGAACGGAATGTTATTCCTTATTTGGTAAAAATGAAAACATTCTTAGTGTTTATGGTTTCTCTCCTATTGAGAGAATTTCATTATTAAATATTAATATAAATGATTCGTTAAAATACATCGCTCAACAGATTAATAACACAAACTTATGAAAATGGTAATTATACAAGACTTTCATTGTAAATTAATATCTCCTAATGTTCAAAATCTATACTTTATTAAATTGTCTATACTGTTCATAGATGATAAAAAAAAAAATCTATACTTTATTAAATTGTCTATACTGTTCATAGATGATTATAAATCAGAACACATTTCTCGAGATGATTTTGTATCTGACGAGAGTTTAACTAATTTTTTAAAAATTTAATGCATACTAACAAGAAAAATTCTAATGCTATTAAAAAATTTTCTAATTTGAAATAAGTAGTTAAAATTTTGAGAAACAAACAAGAGTTCAATGCTGATAAGTATTTAAAGGTATTAGAAAATGGATAGATACCCAGTGAGAAATTTCTTACCGGTCCAATATTGGGAGCCAAGAGACCAATCATCGGTCCAATAAAGGCTCCCAATATTGGACCAATATGGGCTGATGCTTGGGATGTAACGGGTTCGCCGAGCATCGGTTGTTAATATTGGTCCAATATTGGCCGAATATTGGCAACCAAGAGAAAAAGTTTTTTTAAATAAATTTTTTAAATTAAATAATAATAAAAAATTAATGTTTATAATTTTTGTTTAATGTATTTATTTGTTTAATTATTTATTTTTAATAATCCATGTAAATAATAAATAATTTATTATTTATAAATTATAGTTATTTAAAAATGCAGCAACTATTAGGAAATAATCGAAATAGCATTCTGCAAAAAATTCTATCATTGAAAAATCAATGATAGGCGAGAGATATCCGCGTCATTAAATAGATTCGCAGATATACTCTGGTCTCGCGACGAATCTCTCGATACTTATATACACTGGAGTCGCCGTGTCAGTTGCGAGAACGGTTACAGCGTCCCTCTTGCGGCAGAGATAAGAATTGTCACGTAAACTGCGGGTATAATAAGGCCGTCGGTAAAGCGATTTAGCAGTTTACGTGACAATTCTTATCTCTGCCGCAAGAGGGACGCTGTAACCGTTCTCGCAACTGACACGGCGACTCCAGTGTATATAAGTATCGAGAGATTCGTCGCGAGACCAGAGTATATCTGCGAATCTATTTAATGACGCGGATATCTCTCGCCTATCATTGATTTTTCAATGATAGAATTTTTTGCAGAATGCTATTTCGATTATTTCCTAATAGTTGCTGCATTTTTAAATAACTATAATTTATAAATAATAAATTATTTATTATTTACATGGATTATTAAAAATAAATAATTAAACAAATAAATATATTAAACAAAAATTATAAACATTAATTTTTTATTATTATTATTTAATTAAAAAAATTTATTTAAAAAAATTTTTTCTCTTGGTTGCCAATATTCGGCCAATATTGGACCAATATTAACAACCGATGCTTGGCGAACCCGTTACATCCCAAGCATCAGCCCATATTGGTCCAATATTAAGAGTCAATCGGCACCCAGCACGGCAACCAATATTGGACCGATATTGGACCGATTAAAGTCTATTGGCAATTTCTCACTGGGTATACTTCCGAAAACAACACCCAACCGATTTTAATGAAACTTGGTGAAACTTATGTATTTTGATGCGCTGATTACGAAAATAATAGTGAAAATTGGCCCAATTTTTAATTTTATGGTGAAAACCATAAAAACACCATAAAATTGAAGTTTAATGTGTTTTACTTTTAAGAAATGCAAAATTTGAAAAAATGTTTTTTACAAAAGTTGTAGATCTCAATAAAATACAACTTTTTTGTTCATTTGGTTCATTGCTATTTGTACATCACAAAGTTATTGTACTTATAAGAGTTAAGGATCTTAGGTCAGTTTCCTGAGGAAAGGAGTAAAAGCAAGATAATCTCGTGTCAATTTCCAAAATGGACGGAAAATTAAATCTGTTCAGGTTAAGTTCAATTTTGCAAAGCCGGCAATCAACTTTAGTCTGGCTACGCTCTGTCGAACTTATACCTGCAGAGAGATATTGTCGCAAGCACAAAAAAACTATGACTTGCAACGAAAACACTCGTGTGTGGGATTTTCGTCTGCAAATATCAGGTTCAGAGCACAATGTAACCGTTGTAGAAAACACATGGTTTGAGAGGTGTCATATTTCTGCAGTGAGTTGCATTCTGCTCACCTACTGTTTTGCTGTTCAGTTCAACTTTGAACAATCAATAAGAGAATGCAGCATCGTGGAAGGGCAACAAGTGTCCTCAGAAACGGTGGCAGATAGATTCTCTAACTGTCGAGAGGTCTGCATGGTTGCTTTTAATGAGGAATTGGAGAAAGAAGGTCCAATTGGAGGTGTCGGAGAAGAAGTGGAGGTAGATGAGTGCAAAATCGGCCGCCGGAAATATTAAAGAGGACATGTGGTTGAAGGTTCCTGGATTCTAGGAATGATTCACAGGGGTCACCCACATAATTATCGGTTAGAGATCTGTCCCAACAATAATCGTAATCAAAACACGTTGATTGCTCTTATAAAAAAACAGGTAGTTGTTGGGACAGAAATTCACACCGATTGCTAGAAAAGTTATCTCAATTTAAAAGAGCATGGCTATGTACAAGGCACTGTGAATCATTCTGAAGCATTTGTAAACCAGGAAACCGGAGCCCACACTCAAAACATCGAGTCGTCTTAGCGGTGGATGCAGCGCTTTTTATCTCGTGGGGCATTAAAAAGAGCAACCTTGCAGACCACCTATGCGAATTTTTATTGAGATCTACAACTTTTGTAAACAACATTTTTTGAAATTTTGCATTTTTTAAAAGTAAAACACATAAAACTTCAATCTTATGATGTTTTTATAGTTTTCACTATAAAATTAAAATTTGCGCCAATTTTAACTATTATTTTCGTACTCAGCGTATCAAAATACATAAGTTTCACCAAGTTTCATTAAAATCGGTTGGGGGTTGTTTTCGGAAGTACACCCAAAAAAATTAAGAAGAAAAGTCAATCATGTCCAACCCTTTTGGACATTTCATGAAGTGATACAGCCAATTATGCACTTTGTGAATCTAAATGATTCCAAGTCGTTCAATGCCGATGATGAAGAAATTGTATTAACAGTTACTTTCTTAGTATTCTTAGATTTAGTAAGTTTAATCTCTAATTAAAATCTGATTTTGGTAAGCAAGAGAAAATTCTCGTAAATGCATGCAAATTGCAGCAGAAAAAATGCTCTCAGCTGCAAAAGAAAAGCTTGCAACATTTGAAATAGGAGACTGCGTTTTGTTGTCAGTGCCCAAAGTTGATCGTGGTCCAACTGATCCTTCAAATTTTGTATGCGTGATCTTAGATACAAAAAATTATGTTTAACAACTTGGATCTACATTTGGGATTATAAAGAAATGGTTCGAGCGAACAAATCATGAAAGCTGGATTAAATTTTATTAAAAAAGATGTTGATTTTAACCAAAATTTAACAGTCCGAGAGTGTGTTAAAAATTTCGGAGGGCAGGGACTTTTTAAGTATAATTGTTAGCGTCTAATCGTCAATGTACTACAAAAATATATAACTAAAAAAATTAATTTAATGCATTTTTTGTTTACAATTGTGATATTCATTATCAAAATTTAACGACTTTGACATTTCATGAAATGCATTAAGTCATTAAATGCGGTTTTTCACAAAGTGGCTACGACATATGCAGTGGTGATCATGGCCCACTTGAGTGATTTTATAAAGTTTACGTGGAAATTTCGAGGTTTCAAATCTTTTATAAAGACTAAAAGTTGTAGGGCTCAAAAAGAGCTAAAAAATTGAACGCCTTTTATCAATAAATTGTTTGAGTTGTTGAAAATTATTGAATTACAACGATTAAAATTAAACGATTTTTCAATGTTTAATAATTTAGTCATTTCTCGGTGAAATTACTGCTGTCTCTTAATAAGAGTACAAAATTTAGACCCTATCCGGTTAATAGTTTGCAATAATCTAATTGTTAATTAACAAACTTTTTTGTGCATTAAATATCATACTTATTGATCATTAAAAATAAATTTTTTAACGTCTCATTTTATTCAAAAGGATCTATATTATTATTTTTAATATGTCTCAAAAAGGTAATTTTTGTTGCACGTTATGATTACCACAGATAAAATAAAGTTTTGCGTATAATTTTTTTAGTGTATCTTATGATTGAATCAAAAAATTTGAACCCACCTATATCCCATATCTTCATCGAATTGTGCGGTGGGTTGTTGATGTTGCTGTTGTGGAAAGGCAGGTTGCTGTTGTGTCGTTGAGGCAACAGTCGGACCTAGACTCCTGGATATGTTGCTTCCGTTACTTAGCACCTACGTAAATGTAAAGATTGTAAACGTAAATGTCGTTAAACAATCCTATGTCCAGGACTTTTGGATAAATAGAATAGGAGATATGAAGTGATAAAGATAGGTGTAATTTACGTTTTCAGTGACTTTTCATTCTCCAACTTTGATGATCTGCAACTTTTAGAAAAGTGTTTAGAAAAATCTTCTAAAAGTTGCAGATCATCAAAGTTGGACAATAAAAAGTCACTGAAAACGAAAATTACACCTTTAAATTAACATCAATTCCATAGAAGTATATTAAACCCTTCTACATAAATAATATAAATAAATATATCTAATAATAAATAAAAAGTTTGAATTAAATTAACGTAAAAACGTTGAAAAAGGCTTAGGAGATACTAACATCAAGAGCTTGGAGCATTGCTTTAGCAAAAGCGTCGGCATCGTCTTTACTAGAGAAGTTAAGTCCGTAGACTTGTTTGTTGTCTCGCCACTGATGAAACGTTCCAGTAGCTTGATTATATTTGAGACCTCGAAGAATTGCACAATTGATGACGATTTCATGATCTTGGAGTTTACGACCAACAACCCGAAAAGTATTATTAACTTGATGATGATACAGTTGCACTTTTGACAGACCCGACGAGCTACCGCTTGGAACCCATTTTTTATTTACGTCATCATAGACCATTACCGATGCTCGAGCAGATGATATGCTGACTTCGCTGTAAAATAAGAGAAAAATCAAATATTATGTAATGAATTAATTATGTATTTAAATTAAAAATAATTTCAAATTAATTTATAAATACACGGAAAAGTTTTCATGCGAGCTGATATATTTAATTATTCTTTACTTATTTTTATTACTAAATAGTTTACAAAACAGTTTCGAGTTTCTTACAAGCACAATTTTGAAATAGGACGATCAAATTCCGAATTAGCAGTTCGGACTCTAACGGAGCGAATAAGATTATCCCGACCTACAGAACATTTAATAATTCTTCCCAATAACCATTTACAAGGTGAAAGATTTTCATTTCTAAGAAGAACCATATCTTCAACTTTCAAATTAGGTTTTATGTAAAACCATCTGTACCTTTTCTGTAATGAGTGCAAATAATTAGAGTACCATTTACATCAAAATTTTTCTAAAGTACGCTGCACTTGTTGCCAGCGAGTAAGACTATTTATCGCAGTTAATTCTTAGGAGATTTCAGGCAATCCCAATAGGCGCACCGATCAAAAAATGTCCGGGTGTTAAATACGAAAAGTCCTCAACATTATCATGAAGTGGAGCAATAGGACGAGAATTAAGAGTTGCCTGTATTAGGAGGCACGAAATGCCAATCTATTTGTTCGGTTGCACAATAATTCTTTAATTCAACACCTGAATGCAAGGCATTTACAATCTTTTTTAACTCATTACCAGCTCCCACGAAATGTGTCCCATTATCACTATACAAATGAGCTGAAGTACCCCTGCGATTTACAAAGGGAGAAAAGGCAGCCAAGAACGTAGAAGTTTTATAGTCAGTGACTAATTCAAGATAAATCGAACGAGTACTACAACAAAAAAAGCAATGTTCTTAAATGCGCATGATAAGCTATAATTCCACTTATATGATAACGAGGTAGGATGTTTAGGGTGTTAATAGGGTGTTTCTCATCAAAACTTATGGGGGCATTATGCAAACATCCTCCTAAACGAAGAATTCCGTGAGAATTCAAAAAAGGGTTTAATTTTTTAAGATATGATTTGACTGACACTGAATGATCCCCATTTTTAAGCTTTTTATTTCATTAAAAAAGTATTCCCTTTGAAGCTTCTGAACCCACATTAATCTTGCTTGGAAGATTTCCTGAGAAGCAAAATTTCTTCCAGCGGCTGGCAATTCAACAGAAGGCACTAATTAACTTTTTGACGGAGAATCTAGATGAAACGTCTACCATATGTTTGGGCCCTGCCGCCAAACAGAAAAACTTAATAATTCTGATGCAGGCAGCCCTCTACTTGCACAATCGGCTGGATTATCGGATGTAGGAATATGACGCCACTTTGCAGTGGGTAATAGCTCATGTACCTGTGTAACTCGATTGGCTACAAATGTACGCCAAGTATCAGGGTGTTTGTTTAACCAAGCCAGGACTACAGTAAAGTCCGTATGACAATACAAATTACAATGCTTATAATTCAAAATAGACGCCACAGAACTCATAGTTTTCGCCAACAGAACTACTACACACAATTTCAATCTTGGAATTGGCTGCATAAGCTTTAGAGGAAGCATCCGCAAAACCATGTAATTCGTAAGTAATATCAGACAGTTTTCCCGGTCCAACGAGGAATTTTAAGAGTTAAGCTTATGCAACCATAACTCCTATCATAAATTTAGCGAAAATGGTTACTGGGGTTAATCAAACGGAACGTAAAGTTTTGAAATAACAGATAATACCTTTCGATTCGTTAAAGAAGAAATATTTCGTGAAAAACCTTAAACTGAAAGTTATCTAAACCTGTATCCCAAAAGAGCTTAAGCACCTTCAATTTAACATCCTTATCCACTGTGATTTGAACCAGAACGGCACGTTCATGTTATCCTTCCGGACAATCATTTAACAAAATATCAGTATTCGATACCCACTTACGCAAATAAAAACCTCCACACTTCAGTAATTCTATAACTTGTAGTTGAGTTTCTTTAGCTTCCTCTAATTCATCAGACCCGAATAGAACGTCATCAACATAAGCATTTTTCTCCAAAATCGATTTCTATCACCATCATCAATAACCAGTTGTTTTATAACGCGATTAGCAAGAAATGGAACATGCAGTACCGTAAGTAACCGTTAATAATTGAAATTCTTTCAACTTTCCATCCTCAGAATACCAAAGAATTCTTTGATAACTAATATCTCTAGAGTCTACTAAGATTTGACAAAACATCTTTTCTGCATCGGCGAGATAATCAAAACGAAATTCTCTCTATCGTATTGAAATTAAATCATTCAAAATATTAGTCTATATCAAAAATATATTGTTGACACCAGAAAGCAGATTTTCTTTATTATTTTTAAAAGTTAGTTTTTTACAGTACTCTTGATGATATTTCCTGAATTCATTAATTTTCCTGACTTGTGTCAACTCTGTATTTAACAAAATTGTTTCCTTTCCACGAATTTAAAGGAAAATTTCATTTTCTATTTCATCACTATCTAAATCTGTCAATAATAAATTGTTTATAAAATAAAATTAATTTTTCTGGCAACAAGAATTACACTATCTGCACGGAGAAAAATGGGAAAATGATTTATGCAATCAGTGTAGTACTCCTTTATAGAATAATATGGGACAGGTACACACTATAGTATTAGAAGTTTCATAGCTGAACACTTTGGAACTCAACTCAAGTTATCCCATTCATCAGCATGATTATGCAGAATTATGCAATTAAAAAGAATTCTGCTTCAATTATGCACTAAAAAATGTTCATTTTACAAAATTATGTTGCATTTAAAAATTTTTTTTTTTCATTTGAAACGGTTACTGGTTATTTTTCGAAACCAACTTCCCGAAAGGCCCTATCCCGAATGTCTAAAATTACAAATTATTTTTTCCCGAATCTAATTTCCCGAAGATTTATGTACCCAAAAATTTTTTTGTTTTTTATTATGAAATGGATATATGTGCGACTCCAAGTAAGAATTTAGTTTTTTCGGAGTAAGTAAACCAATTGCAATAAAATTCAGGAATTTTAATCTACACATAAAAAGAAATGTTTCCACCACACTTAATTCAGCAAAAAAAAACGAAAAAATTGTTTATATTATGTTTATACAAATTTTTATAAACAAAACAGGTATTAAATAATAATTAAATAACTTTTGAACGACCAAACAAAATTGAATGAGGCAAACACTAAACAAATCTTTGCTGTGGTTTCTTTAAGATTCCGAAAAAATTTTTAACAACGGAAACATCTTCATGCAAAATTTTGTATAAAAGTATTCGAGATTTTAGACATTTGATAAATATTAGACATTCGGGAAAATGACCGGAAACGATTTTACTCATCATATATAGCACTTACTGCTTTTTAAAATTTAAGATTTATTTAATTTTTCAATAACATTTAACAAGTTAGTTAACAATTTAAAAACTTATTTATTATTTAATTTACAAAAATATTTTAAAAATAAAGAAACTCAAAAAAATGTTCATGGTTTTTAGTTAAGAAAAGCACTATTTTGAAAATTTTGAGCCTATTATGCGATCATTATGCAAAAAGAGTACAATTATGCAGTGAGTAAAAAATTATGCAATATTATGCGCTCTAGAAACATGTTGTAAAAGGTTTAAAACATGAATTAACATAATATTATAATGTTTCTACTTGATTTTAAAAAATTATGCAATTATGCAATCGCATAATCTACCTTTCTCTACTCATGTAATTGTTAAAAGAACGTGGCAGTTCTTTTTAAGATAATTTGTGGTCTGACTGACTGTCCTTTTATTTTGCAAATGATACCTTTCAATATACCAAAGTATACAACGCGTTTTTGTGCTCCATTTTACTTACCATCGGTTCTTAATCATCGCTCTCCTCTTTATCGTATGTGTTCATATATGAATGATTTATTTCTTAAAAATGAGGATGAAAATTTAGATTTATTTTGTACATCCTTGAATGAGTTTGTAATGGCTACACATAAGTATTTAAAACAAGCGTCGTGATTTGTTGACGATTTGCTATTAAGTTGTAATTTTTAAGTTTACATTTTGTAGCCCTGTTATTGGTTTTTACCGTTGGGCTTGGTTTTCTTCAAATAAATAAAATAAATAAATAAACAACTAGTACTCAGTCCAGTTCTTTCGAAAAATGAACGCAGTGCACATAAAGTAAATACCTACTCGAAAACTACAAATTATTCTTTCTCTCTCTCTCACACTAATGGTCGTTCACTTATCTTACCGTTTTACTTACTCTTACTACTCTCACCTATTATGCAGTGCAGTACATTAATCTGACACTCAGCTATGATAATTCTTTGAAAAGCAACTGCGCAATTTTTATCCAACGAGATCCCAAATCGGCTGATTTTAAAAAGTACCTTGGTCCTATGTCCTTCGGTCCTATTCTTCATCCGATATTTCCAAATAAAATCGTCTAAATTAATGAAAGTAGACGGGGTAAAGTTAGAGTTACCGTAAAATCGGGTCATGTCGCGAACCAACTGCTCGGTCACCCCCAGTTGTCATCTCACGATCTGATAGGCATTATCCCTACAAGTTTCGTTTCTTGTCAGGGAATTATGAACGATGTCGACACGGATATTACAGTTGATGAAATTATTAAGCATGGTGAGTTTATTGGCCCACACGTAAACAAAATCAAAATTCTTCAAGCGCAGCGTTTTAATCGCAAAGTTTACGACGAAAAAACCAAAGAGTTTAAGTTCGTTCCGTCCAAAACCGTCCTACTGACCTTTCAGGGTACGGTCCTCCCTCAAAGAGTAGCGGTCTACAAAAGATCAAGCCCAATTCGTCCTTACTTTCCGAATCCTCGTATATGTATGAAATGCTTTCGATTGGGCCACATCGCCAAACACTGTCGCTCTAAACCACGTTGCAAATCCTGCGGGGAAAACACCACCCATGACACATACAACCCTTGTCCAAACACTTCAAACACACCAAAATGTGTAAACTGCTCTGGTCCTC